CAGCGCTTTTTTTTGCTGCTTGGGGCAAAAAAAGTTAGAGCCGGCCCTGTTACTGACAAGCTAGATTGGGAAAGGAGAAAATTCAGACTGAACATCAACACAGGGAAGACAAAAAAAAAAACGATGGCAATTGGAAGAAAAGAGGAAGAGATAAAGATCAAAAGTGGAGACAAAGAACTAGAACAAATGGGAAAAAATGAAGGCTAGTATCAAAGAATGGGAATTCTGAAGATGACGTAAAAAGAAAAATTGGACTAGCTGTTACCGCATTTGGCAAACTGCAACATCTGGAAAGCTCAATACATTTCAATAACAAAGAAACTCTTGTGCCAATACTGCGCTGCAGGTTGGAACGCTGGAGTATGAGGAAAGCTAACAAAGAGAAGACATTGCCTGCAGAAATGAACTGGCTGAGGGGGACACTGAGAGTTTCAAGACTGTAGAAATTTTTTTTAAATGAAGTGAGAAGAAAATGTTTAGGGCAAGAAACAACCCTGTTACAGAAGATTAAAGAAGGATAACTGTGATGGTTTGAATATGTGTCAGGAATGGACCTGAAAAGGATACCATATTGGCAATACATACTAGAGTGCAAGGAACTAGAAATAGAGGAAGACTGAGAATGCATTGGGTAGATACAATGACACAGAATCTACAGGGGTCTCCAAACTATGGCCCGCGGGCCAGATTTGGCCCGGGGCTTCCATTTGTCCGGCCCTCCAACCAACAGGGGAGAAGGGAACAGCTGAGTAGGCACGTCGAGCAGGCAGGGGGAGGGGCCTCTGGCAACAGCTCACACGAGGCGGCAGCACAGCTGAGCTGTGCAGAGGGGTGAGTGCCCCCAGGAGCCAGTGTCCCCCCCAAAAGGGGAGCCAACTTAGGGGAGAGTCGTTGCTGCATCCAAGCAGGTACAGGCAGAAGCAAACAGGCAGGCTGCAGCTGAGTAGGCACACAGAGCATGCAGGGGGAGGGGCTGCTGGCAGCAGCTCGCACAGGTGGGGGGAGCTCAGCTGAGCTGTGTGGAGGGGTGAGTGCCCCCAGAAGCTAGTGTTCCACCCAAAAGGGGAGCCAACTTAGAGGAGAGTTGCTGCTGCAGCCAAGCAGATACAGGTAGAAGCAAACAGGCAGGCTGCAGCTGAGTAGGCACACAGAGCATGCAGGGGGAGGGGCCTCTGGCAACAGCTCACACGAGGCGGCAGCACAGCTGAGCTGGGCAGAGGGGGGAGGGGCCCCCGGAGCCCGTGG